GGCACAAACTGAAGCAGAGGAAGTTCCGTGTGAACATGAGGAAGAACTGCTTCCCTCTGAGGGTGACAGAGCCCTGGGACAGGCTGCCCAGGGAAGTTGTGGAGTCTTCTTCTCTGAAGATCTTCAAAACCTTCCTGGACGTGGTCCTGTGCAGCCTGCTGTAGGTGACCCTGCTTCTGCAGGGGGTTGGGCTGGATGACCCACAGAGGTCTCTTCCAACCCCTACCATTCTGTGATAGTTTAACAGCTCAGTTGATCAACTCACCCTGTTAAATCAATCCTGTAAAAAGCATCCCTTCCCTGCTTCCCCCCACTTTTTTTTCCTCTTCCATTTCTCTAGCCATTAATGCTAAAGTATCCTTGCAGTGTCCTCAACAAAAGAGAAGTGGCTTTAAAATTGACTGGGTGGCTCAGTGCGATTTCTTGTGCTGCTCTGGAAGTGCTTGGGCCCGCTGAAGGAGCGGGAGGCTGGCCCTGCGTGTTCAGGGCATGATGGGGTGGTCGCTTTTAAAAAGGAAGGTTGGCTTGACCTGACTGTAGGTTAGTGTTGTGAATGAATAGCTGTTTGGCTTTCAGGTGTCTTTCTCCCCTCTGTTTTAATGATGTGAAGAAGGGCGCTTTCTGCTTTGGAATTATAGTTTCTGTGACATTTTCTAGATTTTTTGATGTCACTTGGTTTGAAAACTGCTCGGGGAGCAGCAATGTAATGAAAAGCAATGCGTAGCTGTGGCATCAGGGCTGTGGTCTGAGCTGACTGCTGTCTCTACAGTTGTGTTATGAGATAGTAATGCTGGAACTGCAAACTATTGGAAAGTAAAACTTCTTAGTCTTGGTGGCCTCTTAGTCTTGGCTTTCATGTGTTTAAGGGCAGAACTACTTCTGTGGCCTGGTCTGGGAGCCCAGAATAATCAATCATATAGAGTACTGATTCATGTCCTTTCTTCTTTCAGCCTGAAGTTTTGCACATGATTTACATGAGAGTCCTGCAGAAGGTATATGGAATCCGCCTGGAGCATTTCTACATGGTATGTCTGTAGTGACAGGTGTAGTGAAATGTGAAAGGAGAAAAATACTTCAAAACTTATTTTGTTAGGTGCAATATGTCCCTCTTGTCTTCTCACCAGCAAATGGCAAGTAGCTTACTGCTTTGTATGTTATAATTGCATGAATGGAGCTTAGAAATTCTGTCTCAGTGGCAGAAAACTTGTGCGTGAGATGCTGTATACCCACCAGCGTTAGTGTTCAGGGAGGCAACTAGGCTGTTGACTTAGGCAGGAATGAGAGTGCCTGCCATCAGTGCAGTCAGCATGGGTGGTTTACCAGAGGTAAAGGAACCTGGGAAGGAACCTGGGAGCATCTGGGCTGTTGCTGAGGCCTTGCTTATTATGTATGGGAAGTTGCTTTGTTCATTGCTCCTTGTCTGGAAGTTGGCTTCAGCTCAAGATACGTGTAAAAATAGCTTTTTTTTTTGGTGTGCTGTGTCCGGGTTTCTTCCCCCCCGCCTTCCATGGAGAGGAGATTCCCTTCTCCACTACAGAAACGAGTGGGCAAGAAGAAAAGCTCACCTACCACTGTAGGCTGTAAGGAAAGGCTCTGTGGTGAGCCCTCTCCTTCTGCGGTTAAGTTGTGGATTCTTTTCTTTGAGATGCTGCAGGTACCAGAAACGACTGTAAGGTCTAGGAGGGACTGGACAAGCTTATGAAGGGACACCATCTCCGGCCTTCAAAATACATACTGTCTTCTTGTGCATCTGCCTGTGGCTGTGGCCAGAGGAGGGTCTCTGCTTAGATGTTAGTCTGGTCTGGAAGGAAAGTAAATGTTGCTTTTGATGTTTGATCATTTCCACTTCTCCATTAACTGAGACAAAAGTAAGGAGAAGTGCAGCTGGAGGTTAACTGATACCTTGTTGATTAACAATCACTTAATTATCTTCTGCCTCTGTTAGACAAGAACTGATTCCTGAAAGTGAGAATCATATTGTCTCGTACCATTTTTGGACAAATTGAAAGGGAAGGTCATATGTGCACAAGATAACTCAGTTCTTGACAAGCAATGACATTAGCTGGAATACTGTATTATGAAGTTTAAAATATTGGAAAAGGTGACAGTGTACCACTACCTTCTTCTGGCTCCTTCGTAAAAGGGTTGAGTGTGTGAATTT